ATTTTCCTCAGCTCAGGACAGGGTGTGAGTGTCCTGAATTAGGCCTCCTCTCCAGGTCTGAGTCCACTGTGAGCACCGCCCCACACAGAGTGGGGGACGTGGACCTTGCATCTTAACCTTTCTGTCCTGGGCCGTCACCACAACTCAGTGTGATAGATAAGACAAAAGGTGAAGGTGACGAGGCAGGAAATGGTGGTGGAGACAGGGAGGAAGGTTGCTCTGCAGAGGTAAATTTACAAAGACCTTTCTTGTTTTTGTGGAAGGTTCTAAGAAATGGGCTAACATCATTGCAGACCACATTCTTCCTGGGGACCCTGCTGTGATGTGTGAGAATCATCCTCTGGTCTCTTTACCATATAATTTCTAGTAAAGTGGTACACATATGTTGATATGCATGAGAAGGTGGTTCATAGGTTGAAAAAAAGGTGTCAAATTGTGAAGCAGAAACAGGAAATGCACAAAAGAGCAGAAATTGTCAAAAATCAGCTGCAAAGTCTTTGAGGCTTTGAGCTTCAAGATGTGCAGACATAGACCTCATCTCTGGATGGGAAGAGAGACAAATTCCTGTTGTCAAAGGGTGTGGACATCGGTAGAGTGCTGACTGGTGGCCAGTTGTATAATCATCCTACCATGACCAATGATCTGACTTACATTCAGTTGTACCTAAACAGCTGCAGGTTTCAGCTTTTTCAAATGTTAACTTGCATAAAATAGCGTTCATTCATTTTAAGTGTACAGCTTGATGAGTTTTGGTAATTTTACAGAGATGTATGACCACCACCTTAATCAAGATACAGAACAGTTCCATCACCTAACAATTTTCCTCATGGCCTTTGGAATCAATCCTCTCCTCCATGTCCCAAGCAACCAGTAATCAGCTTTCTGTCACGACAGTCTTGCCTTTTCTAGAATTTCACATGAATGTAACCTACAAGATGTAGTCTTCTGTGGTTGATGTCTTTTGCCTAGCATTTCTTTTCAGATTCCTGCATGCTGTGGCATGTTCATTTTCTTTTTGGCATGTTCATTGTTCGTTTTCTTTGCTGACTAGAATTCCATGATATGTGCATTAGTTTCCTTGGGCTGCCATAACAAAGCACCACCCATTGGGTGACTTATGGACATTTATTCTCTGGGTTCTGGAGGCTAGAAATCCAAGATCAAGGTGTCTGCAGAGTCACTCTCTCTGCGGGCTCTAGGGGCGAATCTGTTCTTAGCTTCTTTCTTCTTCTTAGCTTCTGGTGTTGGCAGCAATCCTTGGTGTTCATGGACTTGTAGACCCATCACTCAAGGACTCTTCCTCTGTTGTCACACGGCATTCTCCTCTTCCTATGAGGACACTAACCCTTTCAAGATTAAGGGTCTACCCTCCTCCAGTATGACCTCATGTTAACCAAGTATTTCTCCAATGGCCCTATTTTCAAATGAGAACACATCCTGAGGTTCCAGGAATTAAAACTTCAATGTATCTTTTTAGGGGATAAAATTTAACCCATAGCTGTATGGAGATACCAGAATTTGTTTATTCACTCACCAACTGATAAACATTTGAGTGTTTCCAGTGTGAACTATTAAAACATTATAACAAGCATTCATATGCAAGTCTATGTTTTTATTTCTCTTAAGTAAATATCTAGGAGCGGGCTTCCTGGTTTGTGTGTTTAACTTTATGAGATACTGTTTATTCTTTTCCAAAAATGTGGTAACTTTTCGTATGCTTGTTTGCGATCTATGAAAGCCCGTCCCTGCCAACATTTGGTATTGTCAGTGTTTTCAACTTTAGTCTCCTCACAGGTGTGTAGTGGTATCTCATTATGGTTTTAATGTTCATTTCCCCAAAGATTAGTCAAGTTGAGCATTTTCCATGTGCTTATTGGGCATTTGTATATCTCCCTTTCATAAAATCTTTTGTCCCTTTTCATATTGGGTTGTTTGATTTTTTATTGTTTGTAGGGATTCTCTCTATGTTCTTGATACATGTTTATGTTTGATCTGTTTTGCAAATAGTTTCTCCCAGTCTGTGGCTTGCCTTTCATTTTCTTAAGTGTGTCTTTAGAAGAGCAAAAATTTGAATTTTGATAATGTCTATATTTTCAGGTTTTTCATTTGTGTTTTTTATTTTTTTGTCCTGTTTAAGGAATCTTTGTTTAACCCAGTATCACCAAGATTTTCTTTTATATTTTTCTCTGGGAGTAGAATTGTGTTAGCTCTTACGTGTAGGTTTAAGTCCATTTGGATCTAATTTTTATGTGTGATGTGAGGAAAGGATCCAGGTTTATTATTGTCCACACAGATATCTAGCGATTTCAACACAATTTGTTGAAACAACTGTCTTTTCACAATTGGGTTACTTTGGCACCTTTGCTGTAAATTAATTGCTTTAAATATGGGTGTGTTTCTGGGCCGTCTATTCTTTTCCATTGATCTCTGTGTATCCTCACCCACAGAACATCATCTAGATTATTACAGCTTTACAGTAAATCTTGATATGAGGTATTGTAAGTCCTCCATTTCCTTCTTCTTTTTGAAATTGTTTTGCCTATTCCATGTCATCTGCCTTTCCGTGCAAATTTTCTTTTTCTTTTTTTTTGAGGAAGATTAGCCCTAAGCTAACAGCTGCCAATCTTCCTCTTTTCGCTGAGGAAGACTGGCCCTGAGCTAACATCCATGCCCATCTTCCTCTACTTTCTACTTGGGATGCCTACCACAGCATGGCTTGCCAAGCGGTGCCATGTCCACACCCAGGATCTGAACTGGCGAACCCTGGGTTGCTGAAGCAGAAAGTGCACACTTAACCGCTGCGCCACCAGACTGGCCCCCCGTGCAAATTTTAAACTCATCTTAGCAATTCCTTTTAAAATATTGTGTTAGGATTTTGATCGAGATTATATTGAACTTATAGATCAAGTAGGGCAGAATTGCCACCTTAACCATATTGAGTGTTCCAATCCACAAACACTGCATTTACTTAGGTCTTGATTTCCTTTTGCGGTTTTCAAGGTATCGGTCATGCACATCTTTCATTAAATTTATTCTTAGATGTGATATTCTATTTTAAATTGTATTATTTTTAAAACGTACTTTTTCGATTGTTCATTGCTGGTAAATAAACACACAGTTGACTGTTTTATATTGACCTTGTATCCTGCAGGTGTGTAAATTCACTTACTAGTTCTACTGGCTTTTTAATAGAGTGCTTAACATTTTCTGCATAGGTAATCACGTCATCTGCACATAAAGACAGTTGTACGTCTTCCTTTCTAATCTTTATGCCTTTTATTTCTTTGTCTTGTCCTGTTCAATGGCTTGGGTCTCCAAACAATACTGAAGAGACATCCTTGCCTGATGCCTAATATTAGGTCTAAAACACTTAGCCTGTCACTGTTAAGTATGATGTTTGAGATAGGTTTTTCCTAGATGTCTTTAATAAGATTGAATAAGTTCCTTTCTATTCCTAGTTTGCTGAGAGGTTTAATCATGAATTGAAGTTATATTTTATAAAAAGCTTTTTCTGGAGTGATTAAAATGATTACAGTTGCTCCTAACTTATGATGAGGTTACATCTCAGTAAACTCATCATAAATTGAAAATAGCACAAGTCAAAAATGCATTTAATACACCTAAGCTACTGAACATCATACTCTAGCCTAGCCTACCTTAAACGTGCTCACAACACTTACATTAGCCTATAGTTGGGCTAAATCATCTACACAAAGCCTATTTTATAATCAAGCGTTGAATACCTTGTGTAATTTATTGAATACAGTCATGAAAGTGAAAGCAGAATGGCTGTGTGGGTCCAGCGTGGTTGCAAGTGTATTGGCTGTTTATCCTGGTGCCACTGCCCAGCATCACGAGGGAACATAGTACCGCGTATCACTAACCTGGGAAATACCAAAATTCAAGATTCTAAGTACAGTTTCTACTAATGCCTATTGCTTTCACACCATGGTAAAGTTGAAAAATCTTAAGTCGAACCGTCTTAAGTCAGGGACCGTTTGTGTATGTTTTCTTCAATCTGTGGATGGTGAATTATGTACATTATCAAATGGTAAATGAAGTTTGCACACTCAGGGTTGACCCCACTCAGTCATGATATAGCATTTTTATGTATACTGGTGGATTTCATTTGCTAGTATTTTTAAAGGATTTTTGTGTCTATTTTGATTATGGATATTGGCCTGTAGTTCTCTTTTCTTGTGATGTCTGCATTTGGTTTTGGTTTCACGACATGTCTGCCCTCATAAAATGAATTGGGATGTGTTCCCTTCTCTTTCATTTTCTGAGTTTGATTGATATCATATATATTTTGTCCTTAAATATTTAATGAAATTTACCAATGAATTCATTTTGCTCTGGATTTTTCTTTGTGAGAAGGCTTTAAATTACAATTTAAATTTATTATTTGATATAGTGCCTTTCAAATTTTCTGTTTCTTCTTGAGTCACTTTTGCTAACTCGTGCTTTTTAAGGAATTTGTCCATTTTATCTTATCATTTGAGTCAAGCTTATCAGCATAAAGTTTCTCATTACAGTGCATTATTTTGCTTTAATGTCTGTGAGATTGTGGTGATGTTCCCGCTTCCATTCCTGATCTTGGTAATTTGTATATTTTTACTCTTTTTCTCCATGTAGGTAGAGGCTTTTCAGTTTTCTCGGTTATTGTCAAAGAATCAGCTTGTGTTTTCATGATGTTTTCCTGTTTTCTATTCAACGATTATTTCCACCGTGGTTATTTCATTCTCTTTACCTTTAGGTCCAATTTGCTGTTCCTTTTCCCATTTTCTAAAACGTAGTATCTCAGAAAACTAGACAGGTGTGCCTATTTTGCTTTAACTCTAAATTAATTAAAATGAAAGTAAAATTAAGAATCCAATTCTGCAGTCACACTCATTACAGTTCATGTGCTCAAAAGCCCATGTGGCCAAAGGTCATCATCTCGGACTGCACAATACAATTCCATCATTGCAGAAAGTTCTATTAGAGCTGCTAGATGAGAAGGTGGCCAGTCTCTTGCAGGAGCAAGTTTGAACAGCTCCTCCCCTCACTTCCTCTCTCCTCTGTCGTCTCAGTGTCCTGGCTTAGCACCACCTTCAAAGTCAGAGGAGTGAGCAGGACCCAGATTTTCCAGGTAAGGGAATAAGGGTGTTTGTGGGTGGGTGGAGGGTTGTAAGAGAATGTGTGATTTGGTGGAGAGGGGACCGCTCCCCTGGGTCTGTATCTACCCTCCTGGCCGACTTACTCTCAGAATCTATTTCCTGTTGGTTCCTGTTCCCCGTCTTTGCTGATTTTAGGCTGTAATCTGTTTTCAAGGCTGAGCCTCACAAATGAACGCCTCTTGCAGGGTCACTGTTCAGAGGATACTTGTACAAATAAATGATTCCTTTGACCATTTATAGAATTTATAAGCAAATCTGAAGCTTTCAGGGATCGAGATGGGTGAGCGGGTGAGCTGTGTGGGGAAGTTGGAGTGGTCCTCCCTGGAGAAGTGTCAGAGGGCTGAGGGCTGAGGGCTGAGCAGGAGTGTGCTGGCACTGGCTTGGAGCAGGAGTGCTCCCGGGGGAGGGAGCAGGGCCGCAGGGGTCTGGAAGTTGGAAGGAGCTTGGGGAGCAATGAGGAGGCCAGTGTGGTGATAAAGCCTTTTGAGAGAGAGTAATTGATCACGCAGGGTCTTAGGACCATCCAAGGACTTTCAACTACTTTTTAAAAAAAGCAATAGAAAGCCATTAAAGAAGTTAAACAAGAAAAAGAATCAATTTTAGTCTAAAAAGGCATCTGATCATAGAATAGAAAAGAGATTGAAGATGAGATGATCAGTTAGGGAGCCTGTTACATTGCAAACAAAATGACAGTGGGGTTGGATTAACATGAAGATGAAGAGAAAAGGATAATTTTGCATTCTTTGGAAGTAGAAGCAAGAGGATTTGGTGCTAGATGGACGAGCAGGTAAAGACAGAAGAGTTGTAGGTGACCCCAAGATTCTGCCTGAGCCACTGGCTGAATGGTGATGCTGTTTGAAATGGGCAGTGATGAAGGTGGAGGTGGAGGTCAAGGGTTCCGTTTCTGCTGAGCTCTGTTTGAGATGCATGTGGAATTGCCAAATGGAGAAGCTGCATGAGGTATAAAAGTTCAGAGCTCTGAGGAGAGTCTAGGCTACAGGCCACGTATAAATGGCGTTCAAAGCAGTAATTCACTGAATAGAGTGGGGGAAGGGCATGCACAGCCAGTGCTGAGGAAGCACGTGAAGCATTTATGTTTGTGTAAAGAAAGAGGAACAATCTGAAAATGGAGAGTTGAGGAGACATCTTGGGAAATAGGGGCAAGAAATCTAGTAGCAAGTTTATGGAAAAAAGAAACTGTTGGCTACAGGAGGTTGCAGTTTCCAGTCACTCTCCGTTTCCCTAAAATGACATAGTTATGTTTCTTTATCTACAGGAATTCAAACTACAATGGCAGCCCGATACCACAGCTCATGTTCCAACCCCAGTGAATCCAGGAGCTGCCGTGGTGAGAGGGTGCCCTGGCTCCCCAGGCCAGGAGGGTTCCTGTCTGAGCAAGAGCAAACCATTTCCAACCTCCTCTCTCATTTTCTCTTCGTTCGCCTTGCTCTGTCATTTCTCCCTCGACCCTCTATGCTTTCTCCTCATGATGCAGTAGAACAGCGAAGAAGAAGAGAGGTAGAACTATCTTGACTGATCCCAGGCTCGATGAGGGTTCTTATGTCCTACTTCCCACTATGTGGACACACCAAGCCAGGTGGAGCCTCTCTGGTTGATTTTCTGCGCCTCTCTTCAGGCTGGGAGAGGACTGGGAAGGAGGAACGTGGGAGTAATTGATTCCTCATTCAGGTCCCTAATTTCCCTGCTTCTAGTGGCCTCACTATAACCAACAAGTTCAACAGACAACCTCATCCAGTTCTGTCACATAACCTCCTTCTACTCCCTTAGCCATGGAAATCAACCACAATAGTTGAGCTTTTGCTGGTTTAGCAAACCACTCCACAATTAAGTCACGGAAAACATCAACCGTTTAGTTGGCTCTCTATTTTGTGGGTTAACTGGGCAGTTCTTGGGTCTGGGTCAACTTGGCTTAGCCAGACTCGCTCATATACCTGTGGTAAGCTAGTGGTTCAGGATGCAACTGGATAATTTTTCACAGCCTCATGGGCATGTTTGGTAGTTAGCAGGCTCTTGGGTGGGCCAGGGTGACAGAGATAAGTGGACCTTGTTTCTCTCATCATCAGTGAGGCTAGTCCAGGCCTCTTCATGGGGCAGTTGCAGAGTTCTGAAGAGCAAAGGGAAGGCACGCCAGAACGCATCAGCACTTTTGAAGTCTCTGCTTACATCACGTTTTTACTTTCCTATTGTCCAAAACAAATCACAGCCCAGGCAGATTCAAAGGCTGGAGAAATATGCTCAGCAGTGTGATGGGAGGAGCTGCAAATCCACATCCCAGAGAAGCATGTGTACAGAGAGATGGGCATCATTCAGGGCCATATCTGCAATCTATCGCATAGATCGTCATCCACATGCTGCCCACATTGGCAAATTGTTGCAGTGTTGGAACTGGCCTTTGGTGCCCTTTGTTTCACCTCTCATGATTTTCCTACTCCCTCTCTCTATAGCCAACCAGAGCCCTCAGCACAGCCTTAGGTTGGAGTCTTCTATGGTGATGATAACCAAATAATAATCTGAAGTCCTGCCCACATTTTTCCTTAGATAATCTTAGCCATCCTGCATGCAATATTCTCAGCTGCTGGAAATTTACTTCTCTCACTCCAGGATTCTGGCTGTCAAATGTGGGAAATTCTACTTTAGGGATGGTTTTGTGAATCTCTGGATTAGCTAAAACCTCAGCATAAAGTGTGTAGGGATGGGGATTAGCTACAGATTTTGCGGAAGCCAGAGTGGCAGTTTCTGCAACATCTCTCTTCTGTTTGTTTGATATTTTTAAAAGATTGCTCCAATTACAGAATAGACTGAGGGGGCAACAAGGAAGTAGAGAGACTGGTTAGGAGACAACTGAGGCATGGGTGGTGATGGTAGCTGGGGCTAGAATGATGGTCTTCAAGATGGAGAGGAGATGGACGGAGCCAAGGGAACTTACTAATGGGTTGGGAATGGAAAATAAAGGAAAGAGAGGAATCAAGAGCCATTCCTAGATTTTCGGTCTGAGGAAGTGAGTGAATGTTGAAGTATCTCGAAAAATCAAAATGGAGTTAATAACATTGTCTGTAATGTTGTGATATGATAATGTATGCATTTCCTCCAAGCAGAAATCAATGGTTGTAACACAGGATTCCTTATGCAGGAACCAATCTTACTCTAGGGCTACACTGGGACGGTCTACCTTCTTGGAGAAACAGGCTCTCAAATGCATTCATCAGTTGCCTTCCGTCTGCTCCCAGTCTGTGCTTAACAAATCCCCAGACTCCAACTCTATAGCCACATTAAAGAGCTATGCGGAGAATTACCGAATACAAATACAGAGAAAGCCATAGAGATTATTTGTTGTCTGACTCAAGGCACAATTATTTGGGAGACATAGTTTCAGTTGACATGTTATGCTGCTCTGAAATTAACTTTCAACTTCCCCAGAAAGTGGAATATGCTTAACCAATGAAACTAAGAAAGTATAACTCTACTGATGTTAATCGGTATGGGTTTTTTTCCATTTGTTAACTATCAAAGGATTTTATAGTAACTCCAGAGAACTGTCATGTATTTGCTGGCTATAATTCTTCCACCTCTTAATTTAAATATAAAAGCTTCGCTAAATTTCTATTGATATATCTAGCATTGCCTCTTCCTGATTTGCTAAAGCTAAAGTCGTTAACTTTCGATGTTCGGTGTTTTGTTCTCCTGTGGGTCATAATCCTTGAAAAAATGGTTGCATGTGTGAAATATAAAGGGACGATGGGCTGGATACCCACCTACCTGACTTCTTAATGGGAAGAAGAAAAGTCCCATTTTGGATAGAAATTGGGGGGAAAATAATCTCCCACTGCGATGTCCCCAAGTCAGATTTCGTGTTGCTTCCTGCATTATCTTACGAGGAACAGCTACCAGCAGCAGCTCAGAGTTCACTTCTTGAGCCATCCTGTTCCCTCCTCTGTGGGCCACTTAACTAAAAAAGTCAGAGTAAGAACCTCAAAGGAATCCTGAAAAGTCCTTGGGCCTTCCCTAAGCACTGCAAGAGGAACATCAGGCCCACAGGACTTTCTCTAGTCTTCCTGTGAGTGCACACATAACTGAAGAGAGAGGATGCTAGTGGGCAATAGTGGGGGTGCCCGTGGGTGGGGGTCCTGGGGGGGAAACAGCTGGAGGTGGATCCTAACACTGGGCTTTTGTTCCCTGTTGACTTAGGGCTTGGAGACCAAAACCCCAGAGATTTGCAACTGAGACTTGTCTAGTGGGTAAGACTGGAGCAGGAAAAAGTTCAACAGGGAACAGCATCCTTGGAAGAAAGTGTTTAATTTCGGCCTTGCAGCAAAATCCATCACCAAGTCCGCGAGAAAGGGAGCAGCATGTGGCACGGGAAAACAATTGTCGTTGTGGATACGCCTGGCGTTTTTGACACCGAGGTACAGGATGCTGACACCTGCAAAGAGATTGCTCGCTGCATCCTCCTGACCTCCCCGGGGCCTCATGCTCTGCTCCTGGTGGTCTCGCTGGGCCGTTACACGCAGGAAGAGCAGAAGGCCACTGAGAAGATCCTGAAAATGTTTGGACACAAAGCTAGGAGATACATGATTCTCTTATTCACCCGGAAAGATGACTTGGAAGGGACCCACTTCCACGATTACCTAAAGGTAGCTCCAAAAGTCATTCAAGAGCTGATGAAGGAGTTTGGTGATCGCTACTGTTTGTTCAACAATAAGGCGACGGGAGCTGAGCAGGAGGCCCAGAGGGCGCAACTGCTGGCCTTGGTCGAGCACGTGGTGATGCAGAATGAAGGAGGATGCTACACTAATGAGATGTACCAAAGAGCAGAGGAGGAGATTCAGAAACAAATCGAAGTGTTGCATGAACGTTACAGAGCAGAGCTGGAGAGAGAGAAAGCGCTGATAAGAGAGGAGTACGAAGAGAAAATCAGAAAGCTGGAGGATGAGCTGGAGCAGCAGAAGAAAATGGCACAAATGGAGAGGGAGTTAGCTGAAAGGGAGATTGTCTGTGCCTCAAGGCAGCGAAATGCCAGAGAAGAGGTTGAGAGTCAGAATGCGATCCTTGAATTAATCTTTGGAGCACTGAAGATTGCTTCCTTTGTCATCTCCCGGCTGTTTAGGGAAGATTAAGCTTAATGAAAATCTGTCGATACTTCTTGCATATGTTCAGGTGGCCCTGCCACTCATTCCCCAAAGTCAGAGCACGCTGGTCTCTGTCTCTCAGGACTCAGGAGTGCAGTGAAGTTCGCTGTTGGCAGTTGGTAGATGTTGAATCGATTTAACAGGGAGGGACAAATTCTCAATTTGTGAAACTCCAAAGCAGAAAGTATTGATGCTCCCTACCTTGTGAATTCTTTCCCAGAGACATGGAGAAAAGGAATGCAGGAGACCAGAGAAGATGACCTCGAGCTCTCTCTGCTCATCCCTAGTAAAGATTTCTCTCTAGATTCTTTCCAGACTGGCAGACAGTCACGCCCTGGGGCTTTTCTCACTTACTTTCCCTTTAGGAGGACAGTGAGTGAGCAAAAGCAGTGCTCTGCGGTACTCACCCATGGAGATGCTTAGAGAATTCTTTCTCCATGCATGTAAATGTATTTAATTCCGTTTTCACAGAAGGGCTCAATTTGTTCCTTATTGTCTCCCCATTGAAGTGTCGATGAAGAGTTCCTGGAAGATGGATCTCTCAGAACTCAATTAGGTGAAATGCCAGAAAGTGAGAAAGACAGAGACTCAACAGATAGGACAAGAATGTTTGGTGCATTTGGATGCATCTGTAGAAACTCTGACCAACCTCAAAGTGACCAATTTGCTGAATAACCAGTCCTCTCCTTTTCTGTGAAACTAACTGCTGCACCCCCACCTCCATAACCCCACAGCTTGAGTACTTACTGCTTGGCGGGTCACCTTCACTCTGCTGCTCCCACCCAGTTGAGTTATTTGCTTATTATTACTATAATAAAGCTTTTCTGTTCTCTCATATTTGTGCACAATTGGAATCTCTTTTTTTTTTAATACCACTATTCTGCTACTTCTTCTAAGAACACGGGGATGAATTTCACTTTTTCATAAAAGTTCCAGAGGATTTTCGAGCTAGTTTTGGTCTACCCTCCAGACATCTCTCCTCCTTTTCCCTGGAAGATTGGAACCACGTTCTCAACCCTTCTGCCAGTCAAAGACCACATTCTCTTTGGTTTCGTTCATTATGTGCTGATAGAAATTATGTGTAACCAAGGTTTCTGAGACCTGAGTGGTTTTCCTGGGGCAAAAATTCCCTTGAATATTTGGACAACAAGAGTTGAAGTCCCTGTCCCTTTGTTACTTTTCCACGGGGTACCCCTCACCTGATAACTTCTAGGATTTCCCAAAGCACATTTCCATGTTCTACCAACATGTCCTGGTGGGTATATGTGGCTTATGCCAACTTGAAATTGGCTTGTCCATGCTCCAAGCCATTTGCTCAGAATAGGACATAGACCTCTCCCTTATTTCTCCAAAACAAAAATGAGTTTGTTCACTTAATAAAAGTTAGCAAAGGCTCAAGGGTAAGAGAAGGACTACAAAGAGATGCTCCCAATTCCTTTAGAAATAGTTCCTCTGAGTGAGATAGATTTGGTTTCACTCTTCAGAATGTGGGTGCATTTTGTGTCTGTTGTTTTCATCATTGGAGTATTAGCCAAAGTTGGGGGATACAAATCTAACATCCTATTGCAATAGAATCTTCTATAAGCAAATATATAACCAAAGGGCCATATATGCCTCCCAAGAAAAAGTAAATACAATTTTAATCTGAAAAAAAAGTGTTTAACTGCAGTGGTACTTTCTGTGTCAATGCATTCAATTATTCTTACCCTTGCATTCAGGTTTATGTTGTAGATGAGGCAGAAAAAAAAAAAAAAAAAGGTTCTGCTCTTGAGAATCGGCCAGGAGACGAGATGCCCATGTGAAATACCCTGAGAGCATTGTTGCCCATCTGTCTCTCAGAGCAGAAGGTCCTTGATAAATACTACTCATTGTGATGAATACAAAGGAGGCAGGTGGCATGTGTCCTTCTCTCAAGAGTCTGGGAGTCTATACCTCTTCATCCATTCCTTATCATTCATTGATTGTTTGCACTTCATGGTAGATTTTATACCAGAGGCTGAGAATCTAGAGACAAGTGAAGCCAAGTCCCTTTTGAGACTGGCTTCATTCACTTAGCATAATCATTTTGGAGAATCATCCAAGTTGTCTGTATGAATAGCTTGTTCTCTTTTATGCTGAGTATTATTCCATCTTAGGGGTGTACCACAGTTTATCACTTCTTATTCTTATGCTTCTAATTGATTTTTCTTGTCTAATTCCATTGGCTAAGACCTCCATTATAATATTGAACATTAGTGTATGGGCATGCTTGCTTTGTTCCTGGATATGGCTTCAGTGTTTCTCAGTTAAGTAAGTGAGATACTTGACTACAGTAGTATATAAGATGTATTTGTGTGTGTGTATATGTGTGTGTATAATCCTATTAAGCAGGTATCCCCCAATCACTATTTTCTTGAGAGTTTTTATCATGAATGACTATTGAATGTCGTCAAAGCCTTTTTAAAAATCATCTATGGGAATAACTTGTGATTCTTTTTCCTTAAATCTTTTCACAATGTCGACGAAAATAATCCATAACCAATCTATAAATGAAAATTTGGGAGAGTTTATTCTGAGCTAAAATGTGAGGACCATGACCTGGGGCCTTTCTTCCAGAAGGAAGAAAGGGCACCGAAGAAGCGGGGTGCACAGAGTGGTTATATACTATACCCCCCAAGAGGATGTTTCACATATGATTGAAATGTCCCTTTTACAGTGGTCACGAGACTGCTCTGTCGGCACAGCGATTGATGGACACAGCAGGTAGGTCTGCTGTTTCGGTGGACACAGCAGGGTGGCAGGTCTGTTGTCTTGAGCTGGGTGGTCACAGGTGAGCTGGGTGGTCAAAGGTGAGTGCAGCAATCAGTCCCTAGCCTAAGGAAAGATGCTTATCCCTAAGGAAATGCCAATGTGGGGGGAAGTTGCACCTTTATCTTAAGGGCATTTGTTCTTGCCATAGTAAATGTTTAAAGCAGATATACAATGCATGCTCAATGGCCACAGTCAGGCCCTTTTTGGAAAAAACAAAGTCAGGCCGAATTAGGTTTACACCAAATGTCTTCCTCATATACTCCAATAGATCCTATTGCTTGCCATTTCTATCTGTCAACAAGATGAATGATATTAATAGATTTCCAAATATTGAATCAATTTTTCATTTCTGTTTTAAATTCCACTTGGTCATAATACATCACATTCTTAATGTGGTGTTAGAATATCCTTGCTAATATTTTATTTAGTATTTTTGTATTGATATTCATAAAAGATCTTGGTCTTGTCGACATAAATAATCCATGAACAATCTATAAATCAAAATTGGGCTGAGTTTATTATGAGCGAACCCTGAGGACCACACAACCAGGAGAGTCCTTTCACGAAGGAATGGAGCACTCCAAAGAAGTGGGGGTGTTCAGGGTGGTTGTATACCATCAAAGAGCACGTACCACATGTGATTGGAATGTCCCTTTTACAATAGTCACAAGATGGCTTTGCTGGCACAGCAAGTTGGTGAATGCAGCAGGTTGGTGGTTGCAAGGTAGGTGGTCGCAAGGTGAGCACAGCAGGTCAGCAATCCATCCTTAGTTTAAGGAGAGATGCTCATCCTCAGGGAAATGCTGATGTGGGGGAAGTTACATCCTTATCTTTAAGGGCATTGTTCTTGTCTTTGGGTCACAGTAAATACTTAAAGCAGATACAGGCCATGTCAGGCCCTTTTGGAAAAACAAGGTCAGGCCAGCTCTGTTTTAACCCCAATGGCTTCCTCATATACTTCAATACATCCTATTGCTTGTCATTTGTTTATCAGTCTATAGTTTCACCTCTTTGTCCTGTCTGTACCAGGCTTAGATATCAATATTATATTTGTTTTGAAAAAGCAATTCAGAAATTTCCCTTCATTTCAATGCATTGGAACTGTCTTGACTTTAAAGATTTGGAAGAATTTTCACGCAGAACAATCTGGCCCTTGTGCTTACTTTGTGTTGTGGTTTGTTAATAGCTTTGTCTATTTCTTCCATCTAAATTGGTCTATTTAAATTTTCTTTCTGTAATGGAGACAACTTTTGTTACCAGTATTTCCCTTGGAAATTATCCATTTCATCTAGGTTTTCAAATTTATTTGCAAAGGGCTTTTAAATTTTTAAAATTTCTTCTATTTCAATAGTTATTTCCTCTTGTCATTTTGAAAATTTTATCTGTGCTCTTTCCTCTTTTTTTATTTTTATTTTTTGAGGAAGATTAGCCCTGAGCTAACATTCCCTGCTAATCCTCCTCTTTTTCCTCCCTGATCTAGCATCTGTGACCATCGTCCTCTTCCTCTACTTTAAATGCGGGACACCTGCCACAGCATGGCTTGACAAGCAGTGCACAGGTCCACACCCAGGATCCGAACCGGCAAACCCCAGGCTTCTGAAGCAGAACATGCGAACTTACCTGCAGCACCACCGGGCTGGCCCCTTTTCTCTTTTATTCTTGAGTAAGTTACTGAGGACTTTGTCTATTTTAATTTTCTCAACAAATCAGGATTTTGAATTATTAGTTATCTAATGTTTTTTATTCTCTACTACACTAGTTTTTGTTTACTATATTTTTGCTTTCTCTTGGTTTACTTTATCATACTTTTTCTAGTGAGAAAAAGTTTTTGAAGTGAGAATTTAATTATTTTCACTGAAAAAGTCTTTGGTGCAGTGCATTTTCCTGTTATCATCTCTTTAAAAGAATTCCATAGCTTCTGATATTTAGTGTTTTCACTACTAAGACTTCTAAGAAATTCTAAAGTCTCAGTTTGTATTTTTCTTTTCAACAAGAGCTGTTTAATACAAAGCATTTTATTTTCCAGATGGAAGGACTATTTTGCAGAAGTAATTTCTGGTTTTATTGCGTTGTGATCAGAAAGTGTTGTTTGTAATATTTTTATTTTATAGAACTCACTGACATTTGCTAATGTTTATTAATGTATGATCAATTTTGGTGAATGTTCCATGTGCATCTGCAAAAAGATGTATTCTCTGTTATCATTGCAAAGAGAGTGTGTTCTCTCTATGTCTGTGAGATCTACTTTCTTCGTTATGTTGTTTAATTCTTCTGTCTCCCTTTTTATTTTTTGTCTACTTGATTTGACTCGTACTGATAACAGTGCATTGAAGTCTCCTATTATTAGGGCATTTTAGTCCACATCTCCTTGCATTTCCTGTACTTTTTGCTTCATAAACACGGTTGGTGTTATGTGGCGAGTACTTTTTTAAGCATTATATCTCTGATAGAGGATTTATGAGAGAGCATAATGCGACAGAGACGTTATAACTCTATTTTTCATTCCTTTTGAGGTCATAGTCGCCTTTGTAGGAAAAATGCTTTGAACAAGCCTGTGGAAATGAGTCCCCTGAGGCTGTAAGTCAATTGCTTCTGGTGGAACAATTTGGAATTCCTGGAAACAGCCTGCACAGCAAAATTGAACATACACTACATTGAGGGCATAGAGAGAAAACGTAAATTTGTAATTAGTCTGTGATTTTATAATCTTTCCTAGCTCCCATCCGTCATTTCTAGGGAACAGATATAACTAAACGTTCCCTCTTTTTTAAACCGGTCCCACTGATCCATTAAGAAGCCCCTTTTGAAGGTGTTCAGCTCTCTATTTAGGTGACTTAGAGAGCCCAGCCCCCACCATTGTGATTCTGTCCTTCAGTGGGGGATGGATGCCTTACGTGACATTGTGGTTTGTGGAGAAAGATGGGGTCCCCAGGCTTCAGCCCCTGTTCCTCTACTGTTGGGTGATGTCCCTAGTCTGTCAGGTCTCTGAAGTCCTGCTGGCCCCCGTCAAGGCAGTCCACAAGCCGGTGTAACCCAGAGTGAATTTC